CTTTTCACGTCGGGAGGACGTCCCAAAGCGCTTTACAGAACACACTGTAAAGTGAATTGACTGTATATTTGTGGGCGAACGCGGCGGCCAATTGCGCACAGCAATGTCCCACAAACAGTCGTAGATTGAAAATGGCCAATTTAATAATTGTTTTTGGTTTTTGGAGGGATTATTATTAGGCGTGTCTTTGTGTTTGGAGTACGAGTGAAGACAAGGTCTTCAGAATATTTTTTTCGAAAAAGAAACAGTTACAAAACACAGCACCGTGTTTTGTCTTCAGTCAGAAGAACAAATGATTATGCGGGGGAAATTCTGCCGGGTTGAGATTTACTCTTATTTTCTTAGATATCACAGAGTACAGAATTTTGGCAAATTGTTGAATTCAATCTCAACCTTGAAGCCAGTTGTTTGTCATTCTTAACAGAAACTTACAGAAAGTTGGCTTTGAAGTGAAGCTAGTATAGTGGAATTTGAAATTATGGATATTCTGAAATGTTAAGAATATAGAGTAATAATAATCCTTGCATTTGATACAGCGCCTTATCACGTCTTCGAGACGTCTCAAAGCGCTTCAAAGGATACACTGTAAAGTGAACTAACTGTGTATTTTGTGGGCGAAACACGGCAGCCAATTGCGCACAGCAGTGTCCCACCAGAATCTAGACTAGAGTACGATTAAATGCTGGTGGAAGGACAGCACTGCTGACAATGCACTGAAATCGGCTTTAAGTTGTTTCATTAAAGTTAGTGCAATGTTACACAATAAAACTTGCCATCGGTATAAAAGTTAATGAAATTAACAAGATCGAGCAATAAACACTTGACAGGTAGCTAAGTGATTGAAATTTGCCTGGTAGTGGAGTGGTTAACAGTGGTTTGTGGCTTGCAACATGCTTAAAATGTGGGGACCATCATGAGATAACTAGCAGGATAAATGCATTTGATTTTCATGTTAATACAGTATCTGAAATATGCACTTACACCTTGTGAGCTTCTTTGCCCAATAATCTTAACTCGCTTCCAGATGATACAGACAAAACAAGATCCTCAGTTGGACTCCAGACAACCACATTGAACTCATTACTCTTTAACCCCGGAGATTATGGAATTCATCACAAGAGGTTCAAGTAAATGCTTGATAAGACATGTGAGAGACTTCACGACTCTGTAGATATTTTTAAAATGAAACGAAAGCATGCCAGGGACTTTATCTGCTCACAACATCATGAGCAAGGCAAACTTTGTCTTCTCACTGGAAGGTAGAAACGTTCACACTGAAGCAGAGAGGGCTCTTACCTAGCCAAGCTCCTAAAGACGAACTGAACTCTTAGACGGCAAACTCTACAACAACAACTTGCATTTATATAGCGCCCCTCATGCAGGGTAGTACGCCGAGCTGGGGAAAGGTGACTGTAGGCACCGTCGAAGAGGAGGTCTTCAAGCACGACCTGAAGATAGGGAAGGAAGGGGCAAGGCCTTGGAGGGATAGCTTTACAAATGTCATTTTGTTGTTGTTGTTGTGGTTATTGTAGTGCCAACTTGGTAAATATGTGGAATAGGCTTTCAAGGGAGGAATCAGTTTTAGGAATCTGAGAAATGAATACAAGCTGGTTACACACTGCTGTCCGTGTTTATAATGAGCAAGTCTGACAAACCAAAGCGATGAGGGATGATGATGGACAGGGCCAAGAAACAGAACTTTGTTTAGAATTAAAACAATCATGCTGCTGCCTCTCAGATAAAAGTTTCATTAAGTACTAAAACCAGCTGGATTTACAACAATAAGCGTCAAAATAAACATCGATCAATCTCACAAATTCTAATTATTTACCCATCATAATGTCATATTTAAATGCCTGAATATTGATTAGTATTCATTACGCGAATGCTCAAGCCAGTATTGAAGGGAAAGAGATTGCAGTGACTGGAACCCTCAATCCTTCCTACCCACCATGTTCGTTCGATGGCTGCCAGAAGACAGACCGCAGTGAATCATCATAATCCCTGTATTTGATCTATAGCTCTCAGTATCGAAGCATCTCTAAGTGCTTCGCGGGTAATTACAGTCAAATGTGCTGATGTGCATTTATGGGCAACGCAGTTGGCATTTTGCACTCAGCAAAGTCGCACAATACAGCCATGACTTGAATGGCCAATGTTATTGGGCCATTGTTGGCCAAGACACCCTGGGAGAAACTCCCTTAAAAACAGCACCTTTGACAATACAGAGCTCTCCCCCAATGCCTTGTAATCTCTTACATTCTTTGCACAGTCCTGTCTATTGTGAGTGCAATGCAGGAATTTGTGGGTTCTCAGTTACGCCCAACACTGTGAGCTGTGGCTGAGATTTGTGTCTGTTTGCGCTGCATCCTTTGCCCAGACGATCGGACACTCAAAGAAAACCTCAAAGGCAAAGTTGGCATCCCTGACTATCGCGCATCATTCCGTCGTCTCCACAAGATCTTTTTAAATCTCCCCCATGATATACGTCGCTCCTTATTTTCACTCCATTTGCCTCACTCGCCCGCGTTCCTAGCAGATGAATGTGCGCGATTGGGTGCCAGAAGATCACAAACCCATCAGGCCACACGTTCAGGCGCTGTCAGAACTGAAATGCACATGGTGTAGCAATGTCGTTGCCAACATATTATTGAAGCATACTTAATGGAAAATGGCATTACCCTTTATCAGATGGGGTGAATAATAAATAAGTTACGAGTCAAAGATCCCATCAGGCCAAGCCTCAACTATCTTCTTGTCTCAATAATTCCAAATGAGGTATCACAGTGTCCATTCAAAAACCTAAACCTGATTCAGAAATTTTATTTTGGTCAGAAAAGTTCCCCCAGGAGTCTTATTTTTCTGAAGGAAAGTCAGTGAATGGACATAGGGCTTGGGATTACCTAAACCTATTCTTGTTGAAGTTATCTTTCAAGTATTTGGCAGACCCAGCAGTGCGATCCTGTTCTTTGGAAGATATCCAGTCTAGGACAGTACGCGCAGAAGGAAAGCTGCCAACAGGCATATTGTACAGCCAGAGAGTTACTGTGCTCATCCTGGGAGGAGGAAAGGAACCAAATTTATTGTTGTAGCAGCAGTTAATGGAGCATCTCTCGGTGTTTATAAACTGCCTCAGCACCCAAATACGCAAAGAACCAGCAATGTGCAAGAAACGCCTTTGAAAGGCCCAAGACAAGGGAGCACATTAACCTTTAGTGATGTATGGAGGAATGCTCTGTGTTTTTGATCAAGCAAACAAGCATTTTGTCATTTTAGGAACAGGTCTATAAATTTCCCTGTTTGTGGCACTTCAAATTCAACTCCCCACCACCACCCCCCCACCACCAACCACCCCCCCACCACCACACCCTACCACCACCCCCCACCCCCACCAACCCCCCCACCAACCCCCCCCACCAACCCCCCCACCACCGCCACCACAACCCCTACCACCACCACCCCCCCACCCCCCCAACACCACCACCCCTCCAAACCCCCACCGCCGCAGTGCAATGCCAGAAGCACATCTCAGGACAACATCATTGGAAGAATTCTTGAAGTCACCTTGAGAGAAAGGTTTGCTTTCATTCCTTCCCGATTACACAGACAGGGAACAAACAGCAAGATCTGCCAAGAATATAGGCTTTCAGGTCATAATAGACTACCAGATCCAGATTTTCTGCTCGCTATCTGGAGTAAATCAGGAGTAAAAGCAGGATTCAACACTAATTATTGTGGAAATGAGATTCTTAGAGAAAAGACAACATTGAATTTGAGAGGAGTTATATCAATTTTCAGAAGACTATCATGGAGTCAAGTGAGAATGTTTTATCTCACATGTGCCATCAGTGACAGCCTGGCTCAAGTGGTAACACTCTCGCCTCAGAGTCAGACAGTTGTGAGCCGAAAACCCCACATCGGGACTTTGAACTTACATTCTAGATTGACGCTCCAACACAGTGCTGGGGCCATTGCATTCTCAGAGGTGACATCTATCGGATGAGATGTTAAACCAACGACGTGATAAGGCGCTATATCAAATACAAGGATTATTATTATTAGAATCTCTCTTTTGGTGATTTGGGAGTACGACTGTAGGAGCCAATGTTTCACAGTGCAAAAAGGGGGCACATAATTTCATCGGGTTAAACTGGTGAGAAGACTGAAATGGTATTGATGGAAATTACGAGTAAAAAATGCTCTTTTTCAGGAGGCAGCATCCACTTCCAAACTAAACACCCGTATGACAACAAGATGAATAAATGATCATAAACATGGCCCAAATTTTAGACAAGATTCTTTCTAAACTATGTGGATTTTCAAAAATGCAAGAATTCCTTTGCTGTATATCATGAAACTCTATGCAAGCAATCCTCTCGGTCTGTCAAACTGTAAAGATTTTGTTTGTAAGCAACTCTGATTTAATAAGGTCACGGACCATATGGTCCTGATTACTCAGACTTTATAACGTAATAAAAAAAGCCTTTTTTTTCCTTCCAGACCATAGCAAACGTTTTGCAAAGAGGCTGAATAAAAAGAAATGCTCTCTATTTACAAAGGGAGAAAGTTACAGTGAAATAATTTAATCCCAATTTGCATTAAATCAGACAGGACACATTTTCCACCAGTTATTTGAAAGAATCCAAAAGGTTTTGCACAGATGGAAGCCCTTTAAATCCCTTCCATTTGTGCCTTGCTACCCGTTTTCTAAGTCATTGAAACCATAGCCACCATAGCCCAAACTGGACACAATACTTCAAATGAGATTTTGTTTTGGTCAGCCAGCTGTCTGACAAACAAAGAAATCAATCAACCATGCTTAAGAGTCTCCAAACCAGAATGCTGAGAATTCCACGTGTCTATTTTCCATTTGAATGTTATGGAGTGAGCATTCTCTACCCAGAGGGACAGGTCCTACTAACCCCTGATCACGGACAGTTAAGACATAGGTTGGCAAAAGCCAAAGCTTGGGGATCCCAGACAAACTCCACACAACAGCATTAACACTCGGGGTGAATGAGGTGCAGCTGACTCTGGATCTTGTGGCTCCGCAGATTGTGAACCGTCTGATTGTTCTCATTGAGGATCAAGTGTTCTGTCGTCGGCCCAAACCTGCAGGTCCAGGAAAGAGGGCAACAGACACCCAAGTCAAGTGCGTTCGTACAATTACACTGAACACCAGGAAGCAGGGTCATCTCTGAGACAAGACTCACAGAGACAAAGGTCAAGTGCAAACCCAAATAAGTTACAGACCTACAGGAATCAGAGGCATTGTTCCATTAAAATAGGCCACAAATTAACAATGCTCTTGGAGCCAAGTTTCAAACAAGTGCTTTGGGACATGACTCTGTTTGAAGGACGCTACATAAATACAAATTGGTATTGTTCTCAGAAGGCTTCTGTAGAACCTTAAGTTGAAAATAAAACAAGACTATAAATAGCTTTTGAGAGAGAAAAAAATGGCAGATAAAGCATCTGCTAGTGTATATATGTTATATGCATATATATTCCATTACCTCTCCATCCACGCCTTGTAGGTGTTGCTTTCTAAAACAGCTTCAGGCACAATGTGGACCACTAGTGCAGGTGGGCTTTCTGATCCTCTGGTCTGGTACCTGAAGCACAATCATTTGAAAATAATTTCACAGGAAGTGAGATACAAGATTTCCACATGAACAGGAAAGCTGCTCTGTGTTTGAATTCTTAAGGTAGAGAGATTCTGATTTGTTTCCCTGAAGAAGGGAATGAGGGGAGGGAATTAATCCTTAACCCAAGGACAGAACACGTCAAACCCTGGGAGAGAGCCTTGGCAAAGCCAGAGCTTACCTGCTCAGCCTTGGGCAATGAATACTCCGTTAGAGACAAGCCGAAATTGGAATTTAATATGGGAGGTTAAGACCTCAGTAATGCATTGCTCGAGAGCTGAGAGCAGGGCTGGGCACTGCAGCTTGTGTGAGTGTGTAAGTTTCGACCTCTCTGTTCTTGGCTGACATGGATTCTTTCTCCCAATGAGAGGGTCTATGTTTTAAGGAGGCAGGATAGGTCTCCATGTCCAGAATATACAGTGAAAGGTTTTCATCAACTGAGGGTTTCTGGGCGTACATGGCTTACTATAATTATAGATCAAATAACTGTTTAAATGCAGAACAACAATGCAGCCTATCCCTCATTGAAAATTACCTGGACAGCTTCTCATTCTCACACATGGGGTCAACAAACTCCTCGCTCGGACATTCCAACACAAGGAAGGTAGGACCTGGGTCAGAAGGCGTGCACACATCTTCAGGGCGAATCTGCAAAGCACAAGAGTAAAAGCAGCTCAGATATGAAGTCGTCCATATCCACAATAAGCCAACTGGCAACCAGTAGGCAAACCACAGCAAGTGGTGCAGTTACTGGGATCCCATCCATGGAGACAGCAATCTAACATAACTCTCCCTTCACACCCCCAACACACCCCAGGGAGTCTACCCCATCAGCTGCTGAGAAATGTTAATCCATCTTTTACTTTCCATCGCCATGCATTTCAGTGCTTAGCTTTTTTTCCTAAAAGCCTAGCATTTTGCTCAATTACATTTGAGGATCAGAGTATTGAACAAAACTTTCTTTGAAGGAAAACAGTGAAGAAAAGAGCAATAATAGCCCTATAAAAGGATTAGGCACGATCTGACTTCGCCAGGTGAGTCTCCTCAGCACCAACTCAACCGCAGAATAGGACGTCTTAAAATCCTTACCTCCTCCTCACCCACAAGGAGAGCGTTTAAGACACTCTATTCATTTCCATCAACCTCAAAAGGTGAAGGATTCATTGAGATTCAAATCCAGAACCTTTGATTCCAAGTTTGGTGTCTACCAACTGAGTTATCCAAGGATAAGATTATATAATGGCGGAACAGGCTCAAGGGCCTGAATGGCTTACTACTACTCCTAAGTTACTATAGATGATTCCTGCTCCTCAAAATACTCTCCTTTTAACCGGCCAATTACAGAGGAAACTCAGCAAAGTAAATGTCTGTGAGCACCACCCTGTTTGACTGGAAATTTGAAATTGTAATGAAATATCCACAAACCTCCTTCCCTTCATATGTTACACTCTTTCCACCTTTCAAAGCTGCAACAATTGGGCCTATGGCTGAGGTGCCTCTGAAACAGAAAAGGTGAAACGGGCATTTCTACAAGGGAAAAAAGCAACAACAACTTGCATTTATATAGCGTCCCTCACGCAGGATAGCATCAATCTACGACTGTTTGTGGGACGCTGCTGCGTGCAATTGGCTGCCGCGTTTCACCACAAAATACACCAGTCGCTTCACTTTACAGTATTATCTGTGAAGTGCTTTGAGATGCCTCGAAGACGTGATAAGGCACTGTATCAAATATAATTTGTATTTGTGTTTGTAAAGACACTGCAGAATGATGTCCTGCTACTCACACAGGCAAACCGAGTTCCTTAGCCTTCAGAACCAGGAAGTTTCCTTTCTTCGGATGAACCTATAAACAAACACAATTTGATGAATATCACAGGCTTTGTGTAATGGGCTAATTCTGAGCAGTATGTATCCATAGGAAAATATACCAACCTTACAGACATACGCTATCACCAAAGAGGAATCCTTAGATGATGATATTTTTCGGCTTCTCTCTGAAGAAAAGCAGACACAGAACAAAGTAAGTTTTGAAATATTAAAAGCACGATCACATACTCGACAGCAAAAGGAGAGTTTACGAGGAACTTTATGCGGATTGTGGTAAAAACATTTGGCCCTGGGAATTGTACCCGGGACCTCTCGCTTGCGAGGCAAGTGCTCTAACCACTGAGCTGCAGGACTCCGCTGGCTGTTACCTGGCTTTGCTTTCAAATTCTCTTTCGGGAGATCCTCAAGGTTATCCCCATCAATTTTTGGTGAGCGATTCGGGTGTGAACCAGCTGAGACCGGCAACCCATCTATACCAGGGGACCTTCGACCAGAGTCCTTAATCTTTATTGTCGCTGAAAGTCAGAGGAAAGACACGTTGATAGAGTGCCTTCCACATCGGGAGGATGTCTCAAAGATCATGCATGACGTTTACATACACCACACGCGATGAACCCTCTTCAAGTGAATAATACTGAACGTTCCCTCAGCATCTGGTCTCTGTTACTCCGAGAACTCACGATGCCTGCACATCCCTTCAAACAACAATGGGGCTCATCACACTCCCCACTGGTCCAGTGAGTAAAGCTGCAGTGGCTGCACGAGACCATGCAGATGGTGAGGTGGTGTGTTTAACCACCTGAATCCCACTGCCTCGGGACGTCCTCCTGACGCGAAAGGCGCTTTACAAATGCAATTTAGTTGTTGTTGTTGCCTTTTCCTTCCCCGCGAACGCCCACGCCCACCTCCCAGCTCGACATCAGGCTCCGCCACTGTTAAGTGCTCTGAGATGCTGCCCCACACGAAGGGCGCTATATAAATACAAGCTGTTGTTGTTGCTGATCTCAGCCAAGGCAGCAGCAAGGGTTACAATTGGATGAAAAGACACTCACCAAATATGGGCACCTGATAGACTGTCATAGTATCGTCTGTGTATTCTGGCTCGGTGTAAGGGCGAACAGCTGAGAAGAAAAGAAAAGACGTTTAAAACCAGATTTCCGTGCAATGATCCAGCTGAAAGGAAAATGAATCCATCAGAAACCTCACCCAATTCAATCCCTTGCAGTGATCCTGAGAACGATTTGATGGCAGCGAGGTATTTGTCCTTTTAAGAGAAACATTTCAAAAGAATGTGATTAATTAACAACCTTTCTCAGAACGACACCCCGACATCACGCTATAGGTTGTGGGAGCCTCTGCAGCAGATGATTGTCCTGCACATTCTTTGCGTAACCCAATTCTGTTCACTTTTCATTTGTGTCCCCAAACCTCAGCATCTCGTAGCCCAGTCGCTGGGGGCAGGGAATCCTCACACTCAGCTCTTGTTAACCCTGCGAGCCAAAGTCCTAACAGGGAGGGTGGTCCTAGCTGAAACCTATCCCCATTCGCCTGCTCGTTCATTGTGTTTAATATTAATGGTGAATAATAACAATATTATTATTATTGTTTGTCAGATATCTATCCTCCGTTTATTTTTGAACCCAACAATCCGAGTCTCTGTACTCACAAACTGTGGAGGTCCAGAGAAGACACATTTGGGGACTCCGGTGTCCTTCAGGGTCAGGATCATCCCTGAAAATATTTTAGCGTTAAAAGGAGAGATGTGCTTAAGCCCTGCGCCACGCCATTAGTTAATCAGCTCGAGATGATAACGAACAGAACCAGAGGGAGGTTTTCTCTTACCCGACAACCCCCCCACGTTCTGCCAGCTCATCCGCGTCAGGAAGATGTTGTCGAGCCGAGCGACCTTCAACCTGAAAGGAAGTACAGCAACATTTCACACCTTGGAGTCAACAGCATCGAATCCCGTCCCGTCAGCAGCAGCGGCTCAATCACATTCCTTACTTATGTTCCTGCATCAAGCGCTGGGTCCCCTCACCACAGTTAAACAGATACCTGCACAGGGAGGGAGGGGGGGGGGGGAGAGTGGGGGGGGGAGAGGGAGAGAGAGAGACATGTTAACTCATCGCACCGGATCCATCTCCGGCCAACGGCCACATTATACAGGAGATCAATG